TGACGGCTTATCTCTAAGTCCATCGCACTTTAACACTTTCAAGTGATCAACCCGTCAAGAAGTGTGCTTGGTTTTTATAAAACTTGAATGAAATAGTGGAACATTATTATTGCGAAACAATGTCCACTTTCATTCGGTTTAACATTTCACCCTTTACCCTACACCCGAACTAAGGAAATTAGCTACTCATTACGGAAAGTAAATGACGTAAATAAATGACGTAAAGTAAATACATGAATGTAAATAACTGAAAGTAAATGACGGAAAATAAAGACGTAAATGTAAATAACTGAAAATAAATGACGGAAAGTAAAGACGTAAAATAAATGACAATAATTAAAAGACAAGAAATGAAGAACAATAATTAAACTTAAAAGATTAGAATAATATTAATAATATGGAAGAGTTTTTGAGAGCACAATCTTGGACTCAAGTTTCGTCCAAGTTGTGTATGGAAGGGATACCAAAACAATGGCCAAAGGCCTCCTTAAATACTAGTCAAGAAGGAAAAAGACAAAAAATATAAAGCAAGTACCAAGTACACAAGTACAATAAGAGAAGACATTAAAAAGGGGCTTTCTTCTCCATCAAAAAGGGTCAACCAAAAAGTCTTTTCTCCATCTTGTCATCAGCTGCATATAGTCCAAAATCGAGGGCTTAATCAACTCAGACCTTCCTCTAAGACACGGCTGAACCATTAAGCACCTCCCACAAAAAGCCAATTCGCAGCCTGGCAATGCTGCTGGAATGCTGCAGCATCACAGTGCAGTAAACTGAGTCAAAAAAAAAAAGTTAACTACTCCAACTTGTTGTGAAAACAGGTTCATTATCACAATTAGCTCCAAACATAACAAATGGAAAATAAAGAAGTAGAAAATGACTCAAGATTGGGATAAACTATGAAAATCTACCTAATACGCATAAGAAATAGGTACTTTAAGCATGTAATAAACCATGCTTATCAATCGGGTTTCACTTTTTTTTCGTATCCACCACACACCATCAATATTAAAGTTTCTCAAAGCTTTTATGAATCTTGATTTCGTGGTATTGTGTCCTACGGGCTTACGGTATTTATCCGACCATTTGAAACCAAAACCCGTTAACGACAATTTCATGATTTTAATCTTGATTGATTCGTTATAGCTCTTATTTCGAAATATACATATGTTTGAACAAGAAAAAGAAAAGAAAGAAACCACAAGGGTGGTGCCTGATTGGTTTGAGCTTGGCTCCAAAGGTCAAAAATACCTGGAGGTCCCAGGTTCAAATCCAATGAGGAATAAAAATCCCCTTGTGGCCACGGGGGTTCAAATGCGGTGACTCCAGACTATCTGCAAAGCAGATGGTCGTCCTGGGATTAGTCGGCTCGCATAGCGGGTTGGATATCCAGGTTAATAAAAAAAATCAAAGATTGAACAAGTTCATCTATTTTTCTTAAAATAAATCCTCATTAGAGTACGTAAAAAGTCATCTAATTCAATTAGAACCGACTGAAAATGATGGGATATCCAATTTTAATTGGATCAGATCGGATCCAAAATTTCAACATCAATTGAATCAGCCGGTTCATGTATGGCAGTCCAAAATCCAATAAAACCGAACTGATCAAATCTAATGACCATCCAATTAATAACCATATATAATTATTAACATTTTACAATACTGTTTTTTGGTTGATATTTATATGTAGTGGTTTTTATTAAATTAAGAAAACATGAATAATTGATTGAAACAGATGATTAATTGGTTGAAAACTGTATCAAGATATTGGATGATAACTAACCAGTAGTAATATGTAGTGGATAGAATAGAACCGATCCGATCCAATCATTCATTAGATTGGATTGAATAGGATAACAAAATTCAACATCCATTGGATGATTGGATCGGATCGATATTGGATTTCAACCGATGATCCCCTAATTCTGATGTGTAGGTTTTATTTTTAATTCAAGTAATGATGGATTATATGATGCCAAGAAAATTGTACTCGATGTTGTTAATATAAACATACAGAAAAGATCGACAAATTTAGAAATAACAAGAACTTCATAACTTTTAGATTAAAATGATCTAACGTATAACACATTTTTTTAAAATCGAAAATAACTTAAATATAACAAAATTTGAAGCGAAACAATTTACGTCGAAAAGCAATCACTTTATTATCTTTAATTTGACATCTATTTTGATGGGGGTTTTTATCCATTATTTTGTGGTTATTCGGTTCTTTTATTGTTGAAGTCCTCTCCCTTTCTCGCCAATATATATATATATATATATATATATGTGTGTGTGTGTGTGTGTGTGTGTGTGTGTACACACACATAGAGAGAAAGAAAGTTGGGTTCACATGAGACCAGATTGTTTTCGTGAGACCCGTGAGACCACTTTTTTACACTTGAAACTTTACAGGAAAACACCGTGAAGGTAACCTTCACATTGTTTTTGTTGTGAAGGTAACCTTCACAGTGTTTTTGCTGTGAAGGTTCGGCTTCTTTTTACCTTCACAACGTTTTGTTGTGAAGTTTCAAATGTAAAAAAATGATCTCACGGGTCTCACAAAAACAGGCTGGTCTCACGTAAACCTAACCCCATGTAATATATATACGCACACACAATAATCGTTTTCAAAATATCGGACACATTAATTCGTTATGTAAATGAAACATTTTGTGCTACAAAAGTATCAAATTTTGTAGAATGGATCTTTGGAAATTTCTTTCGGTTGTTTAAATAGTTGTTCTGAAATTATATAAAATAAATATATGGCAAACACTTAGATACCCATCTCACTTATGATGAGATTTGAACCTTTGACCCTCCAGAAAGGCTACCAATAACCTTTTGGTTTGTTTACTATTGTTGACCGACCCCCTCTTACCGGATAAGATAGACTTACCCGATGAGAGGTGAGTTCGTTTACCATACATTCTCTAACCGACGAGAAGACTCCGTAAGGAAGGAAATACAATCTTACTCGGTCAACGGTTACCCATGTCACAATCTTACTCAGTTAGCGTTTACCCAGTTTATGTTGGTAAAAAGCCCCTATTTTCGATATCTATTATTATTAAAGTTTAAAGATGAATAACCAAAAGCATGTAGTGACGCACCAAAAAGGCTAAACGAAACTAAATAATTTTTAATTTTCCTGCTGAATCTAACAACGGACGCTAAAACAAAAAATAAAGTTGACATTGGTGGGCTTATCATTTGTTTATTTGCAACAAAACCGGAAGTGGCCTCAACGAATGAAAAAATTACGGCATTGTACGCTGCTCGAGAGGCAACGCTCCTAAAGCTTCACGTTCTGCTCTCTCCCTTTTTACCTGTAAAAAAGAGAGTTCGTTTCGGATAGTTAATCCCCAGGTTCAATGCATGGATTGCATACCATCTTTTTATGGATGATATGTCTGATTTCTGGTAATTTATATCTTTGTACTTTGCGCACAATCTCGCCCATTGAAGGTATGCTTCCATTTTTGATAATGTATTCACTTTGAGTTCAAGAAATCATGAAATTATGGTTGCATGTTGAGAATAATAAGCTGAAATCTTGATATTGTGTAGGATATGTAATACATAACTTATTATCTTGTGGAAATCATGATTAGATAACAAGAAATAGTTGTGTATACATGATATGGTTTGGGAAAGTTTGACTTTTGATAGTCAACCTTATATGAAGATGAACTAGGTGAATGTTTAGCAAAATAATGATGGATTCATGATGATTTCATATAAGTTATTATGGTAATATAAGACTAATATAAGAATTTGGTACAAAATGGTTTGGAGTTTAACTTGAAAAGGTGAAAAATAGTTATTTTCGAGTTTGAAAGTCTTGGTATAAGAACTGTTTTAGAAAAATCATATAAAATTGTAGAAAAATCCTAAAAATATGTACAAATAGGCTCTGGAAAGGTAAGAAAAAATTCTATAATTCATATTTGAAAGTCATTTAATAATTTTGAGTTTAAGAAGTTCAAAACAGGTCTGCAAGTAGGTGCTGTAAGGAGAAAACTAAAGTAGAAAACTTGAATTAAAAAGGGTTAATTTTATTTTATTGTTGTGCATTGCTAATAAGACTTTATATATGAACTTCAGGTGTTATTTAAGCATAATTAAGGCCTTGGAAGTGCTTTCCAACCACTGAACGGGAGTTAGGATTCGACCTTTCGGTTTGGCTTCCGGTTTGATCAACCGATTTCATTAAACAACATTGTGAGTTTATGTGGACATATGTGTGTACTTTGTGATTATATATGCTATGATGTTTTATTGTTTATCCATGATTCATGTTAGTTCTAAATTATCACCTCGAATTGGTCCTATTGCTTGTATTATTTTGTGGTGTGTTTTGGGCGCCGATTGTCGATATCCCATGGAGTCCGGGTGAGACAACCGGAGGGGCTGCCATACTCACTGCCCGATGGGAGCCAGGGGATGAGTATAGGACTTTGGCATAATCCGAAAGAAGAAGGGCAGATTTGGTGCCAAGTCTTATGTTTGTGTGTTAAGTTAATTGGTACGTGACCTTGGGTTCTCACAAAGACATTAAGAGATAAGAGAAAATTTATGTGTATATCCTATCAATGGACGGAATACATATCACCTTTTCCCAAACTCCATGTTTCCTGCATGTCCCACCAATCAACTCATGACACATCGTTACTTTATTTAATACACATTTATTTAAAAGCATCTCCGATGTAAGTTTTTTATTGGCAAAAAGTATAACGCCTTGTAAAAACTACCATTATAGAGAGGTTTTTATAAGAACTTCATACCCTTTAGGTGCTTGAACCAGAACATTGTTTCTTACCATAAAGTTGTGAGAAGTGACATTTTTTATTTTCTTGATTTTATAATTATTAATATATATATATATATATATATTAATATAATAATTTTTGATGTTGAAAACATCAATGAGACCCACAAAAAAGAGTTCTTTTAAGAACTACAATTGTGGATTTTTTAGAGAGTTCTTAATTTGATGAGTTGGAAATGAGTTGACACCAAAAAGTACAAAAAAAAGTTCTTATAAGAAACTTCATTGGAGATGCTTCAAGGATAACGCTATATGCACCTCTTTTACCGTTTTATGTAAGAATTAGGTCAAATCATATATTAAAAATATATATAAAAAAAATAGGTGCTAATGTTGAGATGTGTGACGAGGAAATTTATAAGTAAGAGTCTATTTAGCCCACCCCTTATTTAATTCATCTTTCTTTATATTCACTCTTTTCAATAGATAAATACGGGGCATAATTGGAACTTTTCATTGAATGCATGTTTACCAAATGCTCATCGGTGAATACTTACCAACAAAAGTCACCACCTTCGCTTATCATATCGGGTAATTTCTCGGCAATTAAAACGGAATTGTTGGTAAATGTCTTTCATTCAGTAAACGCTTACCGGGTAAGAGTTTCTCTTCTCTCTCACTTACCGGATAAAATTATCGATCCTTATTATGCCTCCTACCAGGTAAGATTCTGGTCCTTGTCATGCTAACTCGGTAAGGTAAATAACACCCAGTAAACTCTTACCCTTTAAGCATTTGGTGAACAGTCGTTAAACAATAATGCAAATTCCTTATTGACTTACCAGAGCCAGCATGTGAGCAAGATAACTCCTGAATGGTGTCTGTCGTGCCTGTAAGAAGGACAAAACAACAATTTCATGTCTGATTTCAAGAGGAATTTTGACACTTAAAAATGTTAAATTAGGACTTAGGGTCGTTTACCAAACGCTTACTCGGGTAAGCGTTTACCAAGTCACGTTACCTCACTGGATGAATATGGTAAGGACCAAGAATCTTACCCGGTAAAAGCGAGACAAGGACCAAGAGTCTTACCCGGTAAAGGGAGGGCGACGACTCTTACCACGGTAAGCACTTACCGAGTAAATTGTTGCATTCAATGTCGTTTTGATGGACTAAAATCTTTCCCAATAAATAAATAAATAAGGAAAGAGGATGGAATTGCAAAAGAAATCTAATAATTAATGGGAAAATCGAAGGGTTACGGTTAGGTTTCTGACTTTCGAGAAGCTAGAATCTCCTAGATCATCTCATACCTATTTCTACTAGACCCATGCATTACCAACTTGTAACATTTAGGGGTCGTTTGTTTACCTCTTAATAATTCCATTAAGAGATAACATCTACATCGTTAAGAGGTGAATCTTGTTTGGCAAAAAAAAAGTATGTCTCTTAATGGTTCTAAAACCCTCTGAATGATTTTGTATCATGGATTTCCCTTAACCATTAAGAGCCCTAATTTCATTGTACACAATTACCAAACAATTATGTTTCATTTTGCACTATATCATGAGAGCATCTCAATCATTCTGACCACTTACAAAACCATTCAACAATTGTCAAACAACCCCTTAAGCATTAGCTACTTGTACTATAATCTACTTTATTTGACTTATTTACTAAAATCCCTGGGGTATAACAATGTGAAACCTAGTTTACAAATGAAATTGCATGAAAATGCAACACTTTGGTGTGTAAAGTAGGTGTAATTTTTCCGAAGTACTTTTACCTAAAATAAAAACAAACACATACGTATATTGCATTTTCATGTTATTTGTTGTACAATCGACGAAGTATATAGAAAAAACGGACCTGCAGATCTTTGGGAAGATACTCGTGTTTCATCGATAGATCCATGGCACGCAAAATTCGCTGGTTTCTAGCATCAACAATCTCACGAGGCAGCCTGTTAAGTGCTTCCTTGATATCCAAAGACTCCATCGGATCGAATAGATCGTCATATCGCAACCCTAATTTTCATGTTTAATGCACAATCACCATCCTATTAACAAAAATTGAAAAAAAAAAGGATTTGCACAATACGTAACTCCTTCGATTTCATGAAATACTCGATCATAGATGAACGATCGCATGCAAATCTTCAAAAATGGAGCTCCAAAAAACTCACCAAACACACACTTAAAAGAGGGATAAATACACACAATCACAGGTATATGTACAGTCATGGGCGGACCTACCATGGTGGTTACGGTGGCACGTGCCACCGTATTATTTCTCTGTCGAAGGGTAAAAAAATTTAGGTTCGTGAAAGGTGCAACCGTATTAATCTGTTGTGTGCCACCATATGTATTTTCAAACAACAATGAGAACAAGTTTTATTTGGTAGAGTTGGTTTGCAAGGCTTATATTCCACTCCAGACCCAAATTCAAATCTTGTTAGTGTTATTTTCTTAGTCAAATAGTGCTATCGATTGAAAAAAATCCATATATTTGTTTCTTATAGTCAACCGTGTCACTGTTTGAAACTTTTTTCCTGTAGTTTTTTCTTACAGTCAAATGATGCTACCGTTTGAAAAAAAATTATGGATCCATCCTTGTGTACTGATAACCACACAATCATCATCCATAAACAAAAAAAAAAGGATTCGCACAATATGTAACTCCTTCGATTATAATAAAATAATCGATCATAGATGAACAATCAAACGCAAATCTTCAGAAACGGAACTCCCAAAAACTCACAGAACACACCCCTGAAATGGTTAAATATACACAATCACAGGTATATGTACAGATAACCATGCAATCATCATCCACAAACAAAATTTTAAAAGAACACGATTCGCACTATATATATATCTCCTTCAATTTCATAAAATGCTCGATCATAAAAGAATAATCACACGCAGATCTTCAAAAAATGGAACGCCAAAAAATTCTACAAACACACACCTAAAATGGTTAAATACACACAATCACAGGTATATGAACAAATAATCACACACACACACACACATAGAGAGATATAGATATGAGATTCTGACCCATTAAGCTAAGCCGATGCGCGAGAGTTTTCTTGTGAAGAGCGGCGAACCAGTTTTTCTTCGGATCTAAAATAGTTTTCAGAAACTGCGAATTCGACATTGAAATGATATGAAATTTTCTGTCTCTAAAGCTCGATCTCGTCTCTATTCGTATCTCCGGTCTCCGATCTCTTGCGCTGCTTGTTGATTTGATCGAAATATCTCGACGTTTTTTATGCAAAGCCTCCGAAAGAGCCGATTCCGGCCATTTGATGATCGATGCGTAATTAACGGTCGAGTGAAAATTGTTAAGAGTAAATTACATTTTCATCCCTTTGGTTTGTTAAAATTGTGATTTTAGTCCATATGATTTAGAAATTATCGTTTTTGTTCATACGATTTCTAACTCACTCATATTTCATATGATTTATAATTTATTGTTGTTTTGGTCCATGTACTTTACAGTTATTTACTGTTTTGGTCCTTTGTACTTTAAGACATAAATTAATCCAGGGACGAAAAATAGCAATAATTTGTAAAATCGTAAGAATGAAAATTGCAATTTATAAACATCAGGGTCGAATAGCCGGGCCGGTCCCAAGATTTCTCATAACCGGCCATAACCGGTCCTGGCCGAAAATTTGAGCCCAGTCAAGCTTTATTGTAACCGGTTATGTGCCGTCGGTCTAGGTCAGTAAAAAATAATATTTTTATTTTTATTTTTTTAATGATATATAATTTTTTAATACATTATAAAATTTGTAATTGGGTCTCTCAAATACACTTTAAAAGTACATTTTTTTATAATTAAAATTACATTGTTTTACAAAATATAACGAGAAACCGATAATTGTGAACGTTTTTTGCGAATCGATGACTTGGTATGTAAATCCCTCAACAATACACTTATATATAGTGTTTATAAAGCAAAAAATACAAAAAAAGGACAAAAAATGGCTAGTTTTTTGAAAAACAACGATTACATTTTTTTTAAAAAATAGCTACATTTTTGAAAAATCGGGTCGGGCCGAGCCGGTCCATAACCGGTCCCGGTCCAACGAAACACCCTAAATCCATAACCAGTTCCAGATTTCGGTCCTATAACCGGTCCTTACTGGTCTCAGGCCGGTTTGACCATCATTGGTCGAAAATCGAAATTATTATTGTTTATATTTTTCAAATTAGGATTTTCATTTATGTGATATTTAATTTATTGTTGTTTTCGTTCTTAAAATTTAAAATGTATTGATATTTTCGTTCTTGTGATTTACAATTTATTGTTATTTTCATCAGTCATACTTAAAAGAAAGTGTTTGGGGTTGTTTATCAAACGCTTACCGGCAAGAGCGCTACCTTCACTTAACTTATCAGGTAGGATTCTTGGTCATCAAAATGGATCGTTGGTAAGTGTTTACTAGATAAGAGTCTTCTCTCTCTCTCTCTTATCTAGTAAAATTTTTGGTCCTTGTTATGCTTCTTATCTGGTAAGATTTCAAGTACATGTCATGTTCACCCAGAATGTAAGTGACACCCAATAAGCACTTACCTAATAAGCATTTGGTGAACGACCCCTTAGTCTTATGGACAAAAATAGCAATGAATTACAAACCAACAAAAACTACAATTTCAAAACCATAAGGATAAAAATTTTAATTATTAACAACTACAGGAACGAAAAACGTAATTTTTAACAAACCACATGAAATGAAACTGAACATGTCAAAATGAATTGTAATATGTGTGTGTGTGTGTTTTTTTTTTTTTTATTAACCTGGATATCCAACCTGCTATGCGAGCCGACTAATCCCAGGGAGGCCACCTGCTTTACAGATATCCCAGAGTCACCACATTTGAACCTCCGTGACCACAAGAGGATTTTTTATTCCTCCTTGGATTTAAACCTGAGATCTCCTGATACTTTTGACTTTGAAGTTTGTTGAATATAGCTAATAAAATATTGATAAATGAAAAAAATATCCATTTATTTCTTACAGTCAAATAATGTCATCACTAAAAAAAAACTCCTAGGTCCATCTTCTGCGGTGGATGGTGTTGGTGGTGATTGACGACGCCAATGATGGTGGTGGTTGCAGCAACAACAATGACAGTGACGGCAACGACAATCAACGATGGAACCAATTCAAAACTAGTTATGTAAAAATGGCTTGTTGTCTTGTTGACCAATTACATGTATGTAGAAATTCAAACACGTGAAACGTTAGAACCAAACCAATTGGCTTGTTTTTTTATTTTCAAAACTAGTCGTATAAAATTGTAACCTTTTTCGTTCATAACATAAATGTTTAAATCTAAGGAGGAACAAAAATCCCCTTGTGATCATGGAGGTCCAAATGCGGTGACTCTAGGTTATCTGCAAAGCAGATGGTCGCCCTGGGATTAGTCAGCTCACATAGCGGGTTGAATATCCAGGTTAATCAACAAAAAAAATGTTCATGCAAAGTGTAGTGCATTTCTGGAAAAAAAAAACGGTGGTCTGTTTGCAAGGAAAAGGCAAGTGTGATCTGTCTGAAGCTACAACAATAAAAACCAAATCAAACCGAACAAAATGAGTAAATCTAACACATGTTAGGTTTTAAGACGTAATTACAATACTTATTAATTCTTTGCTCATAAATTGCAAAAAAACAAAAACATTTGTGTTTTCGTATTTTTCAATCATCGGTTCATTTTATGTAATTGGATTCACAATAACATACGGGGTGCTAATTAAGCTGTAACAAGGCTATGAGGTCTGAAGTGCACACTCATGTAAACTAACTAAAAACTCGAGATCCCTAGATGGCGCCATATGGCGAGGTCCATGAGGCAGGGCCCCAGTGACTTGCAGTGAAGAGAATTGCTTGCGGAAATCGAGCTTCTCAATGTCCTAAGTGAAATTTAGAAGGCAGTAAACCTTCTTTACTTGGTTATTCAGAAGCCTTTGAGTCTTATTCAGAAGTTTTTGATACTGAAGTGCTTCTAAGCTTCAGACAACAAAGTACTTCTGAGTTCCCTTCTGATCCGCGTTATACCAGTACTGATGTGTAATTATCCGTTCATTAATTATTCCAACAATCATTTTCAATTAATGAGAAGTTATTCTCGCATTTAATATAGAAGTCATTACGATTCTCTAAGTTTAAAATGAAACGATTTTATCAGAATCATCACCGAGAATCTGAGATTATCCTCAAGGTCGTTTCGTGATCCAAGCAAATAAGGGTCGAAATACAGCTTAAGAGAAGACTCTACACAATCTCAGAGTTTATCGAAGGATTTACTTATTGTTCCTCTAATAAACTCAAATTTCTGCGCAAATTGCATGAAAAAGTAACATACTTTAATTTGATTCTTATTTTGGGTAACATACTTTCGAAACTTCCATTTTGGTACCTAAGATGTAAAGTTTTTAAACATTTAAGTATCCGGGTAACTGGTTGAAGCATTAACTGGTTACCATGTTGATGTGATGAGTAATGCGGTATCCAACTCAGTATTATTTGCTGACATGGATATCTTAATCTAAAATTAGTTTTTATGTATTGTGGTTTATTAGAAGAAATAGTTAATACTTCAACCGGTTACCCATGTATTTAAATGTTTACAACTTTACATTTTATGTATAAAGATGAAAGTTTTGAAAGTACGTTACCAAAAATAAAAATCAAGTCAAAGTACGATACTTTTTCATGCAATTTACCCTATTATAATTACATAATTCTCAATCAAATTTAATCAAACAAACATGTTTGACATCAAAATAATCAAAAGCACCTACCATCATCATAAATTGCTTCAATGTCTCCAAAGATTTACAAACAAAACCACCCTTTACCATGAAGCAGATTTGATGGTAAAAAACTCCATCATTTGGGATTTTGACCAACAACAAAAAATCACATAAACAAATGAATGTAGAAATCAGGTGTGTTCGTGTTCGTTTATGTTCGTTCGTTAACATGCTAAACGAACACAAACGAACGAGCTAAACGAACATAAATAAATAGTATTTGAATTCAAAGTAAATAAATAAAAAACTATATATTAAATTTGATATATAAACGAACATAAATGAACTGTAAATGAACGAATGAGGCTCTTGTTCATGTTCGTTCGTTTAATTAAACGAACAAAAAAAAAATTTGTTCACGTTCGTTCATTTATTAAGTAAACGAATATAAACGAACATCATGTCGAATGGTTCACGAACGGTTCGCTGAACGTTCAGTTCGTTTACAACCCTAGGTGGACCTAGTACGTTATCAAGTTATCATTTATCAGCTAATTATAACTGATATGCAAAATCTAATACCATGTACCTGGTACCAATTTTTTTTGGTTGGTACATATTTATACTGGTTTTGTCTCAACTTTATTTTAATATATGAAAACTTGCATTATGGTCAAATTTCGGGTGACGTTTTGAGTTTTCAGGCTACACATGTGATGTTTAAGGGTTTCTAATTGCAAAGAATAAAACTTGCAAACATTCTAACGTTCAAACAAAATAGTTAAAAGTACAAAGTTTAATATTCAATACATAAAAAAAACTAATAAACAATCAAGTCATTACCATGGTACTACTGTGGTACACCACTTTCAATACCGTGTATTAACCAAGTTTGCATACTCGGTAAGATACTACCAACCAATTGAAATTGGTATCAATTTAATTGATACGATTGGTACACATACCAATTAGTTTGTAAAGATAACTTTTATAGGATAAGAATATCTCCGACGGGCAAATTGTATGAAAAAGAAACGTACTTTAACTTGGTTTTTATTTTGGGTAACGTACTTTCAAAACTTTCATTTTGGTACCTAAGATGTAAAATTTTGAACATTTAAGTAGCCGGATAACCGGTTGAAAACTAATTTTAGATTAAAAAAAGACTAAGTTTAGATTAAGAAAATCCATGTCACTTACCACGTCAGCAAATAATACTGAGTTGGATACCACATCACTCGTCACATCAGCATGATAACCGGTTAATACTTCATTATTACAATTTTTTAATTAGTTAAAGAACAATTTTATCCTTAATAATAAAGAAATATATTTTATCCATCTCATAATGAAGGAATAGAAAAATAAAATTACTTAAAAAATGTTGTAACATCCTCACCAACTATACTGTATATTGTCTGCTATGTCCAAAGTACACACATAGATTCACAATTTCAAAATGCGTGTGATAAATGAGATATCCAGTTCCTTATAAGTCAACCTTAGTTCTAGAGTTGTTAATGGGCGGGATGACACGCTAGATCCGTCCTTGGATTACCATTCTCGAAGAAATGGGCGGGCCTGGACTAACTTGTTAAAATTAATGTGCGGACATGGACAATAAAAAAAATAGTTGGAAAAAATATAACAAGATTTTTAAGCCCGTTAGCCCTGGTCGAGCTCGACCCATTTATAGGACGGATATGGGTAAGTTTTCAAGCCCGTAAAAACGGGTTTAGTTTTACCATATGAGGTATGTTGGATAAAAAAATAGATCAAGCCCGTTAGCCCGTGGTCAGGCTCGACTCGTTTATAGGGCGGATATGAGTACGTTTTCAAGCCCGTAAAAACGGGCTTAGTTTTACTATATTAGACCCGTCGGCTAAAAAAAAGGTTAAGCCCGCAACTGATCAGCTCTACTTAGTTCTCCTCCCCAACCGATGTGATATTTTACAATCCACCCCCTTGGAGGCCATATGTTTTCGCAAATACACAAGTATGGTTCCCAATCTCGATACCCTTTATAACATCCAAGCCAACCATATCAGATATTGTCCGCTTTGTTCACATATGAATTCACAGTGTTAAAACACATTTGATATAAAAGATATCTGATCATAAAGCAACCTTAATATCCCTTCTCAAATAATGTAGGATCTAACCACAAGGGTGGTGCCTGATTGGTTTGAGCTTGGCTCCAAAGGTCAAAAGTAGCAGGTAGGGCTGTAAACGAACCGAACGTTCAGTGAACCATTCGTGAACCGTTCGGCGGAAAGTTCGTTTATTTAATAAATGAACGAACATAAACAATTTTTTGTGTTCGTTTAGGTAAACGAACGAACATGAACAAGATTCTCGTTCGTTCATTTATGTTCGTGAACGTTCGTTCATTTACCGTTCGTTTACGTTCGTTCATTTATCGTTTGTTTACGTTCGTTTAAGGTGCGTTTGGTACGTTGGACAGGGTGGGACAGGACATGACATAACACACTTGTCCTACGTTTGGTGTGGCTGGATGTGGAACTAAGTTGGACAAGCATGGGACAAGCTTGTTCAACCATTACCCCCTAGAACTAAGTGGAACACAACACTTTTTCCCTCATTACCCTTTTTCCCCTACCCGGCTCTCACAAGACCTAACCCTGTTGCCTCCATCGCTTCATCGATCAACGACTCCATCGATCAACGACTCCATCGCTTCTTTCATCGACGGCGACCATCGACGGCGAGTTCCAATCGGCGTTCTTATCTTCTCCACTGTTCCAATCGACGGTACCGAACTCTTCTCTCCATATCCAATCGACTGTTGCTTCTCGACTGGTAAGTCGTTCGATTTCTAATCGACTKTTGCTTCTCGACTGCTTAGAAACTGTAAATTTAGTCGTATGGTCTTTGCTTCTCGACTGTTGTTCGATGGATTTAAGCTCTGAAATCCAATTTTGGGGGTCTTTGCTTCTCGATGAAGATGATGAATATTCATATGTGATGATGAACCCACTGCCCCTGCATCAATTTGTGGTAAATGTGTTTGATATCGTATTTGCTACTTGATTTATGGTAAATGTGTTTGATATTGTGGATGAAGATGATGAACCCACTGCCCCTGCATCAAGTTGTTCATCTTGTAATTGTTCATATTTGCTGACAGTTTGCTACTTGATTTATGCTACTTGATTTATGCTAGTGACTCCATCTAATTTTTGGAACATTTTAGTGAAAAAACACTAAACAGCTTACTGGGGGTAAATTGGTCATTTTAACCAGTTCTGTCATGTCCTGTCATGTCTTACCAAACGCTGAACAACTGTCATGTCCTGTCCTGTCTGCGCACCAAACGCACCCTTATGTTCGTTTATATATTAAATTTAATATACAATCTTTTATTTATTTACTTTGAAATCAAGTAATATTTATTTATGTTCGTTTAGCCCGTTCGTTTATGTTCGTTCGTTTACGTTCGTTTAGCATGTTAACGAACGAACATAAACGAACACGAACACACCTTATTTCTAAACGAATGAACATGAACACAAAGATTCTCGTTCGTTTACCGTTCGTGTTCGTTCGTTTGTTCGGTTAAGTTAAACGAACGAACATGAACAAGCCTCCGTACGTGTTCGTTCAGTTCGTTTACAGCCCTAGTAGCAGGAAGTCCCAAGTTCAAATCCAAGGAGGAATAAAAATCTCATTGTGGACACGAATGTTCAAATGCGGTGACTCCGGGCTATCTGCAAAGCAGGTGGTCGCCCTGAGATTAGTCAGCTCGCATAGCAGGTTGGATATCTAGGTTACTAAAAAAATAATAATATAGGATCTTACAAATATACATATTACACTTATTTATAAACCAAACTAAAATAAAAATATTTACATTTATTTTGGATTGGTTAACTTGAAACTCTCTTTCTTTTCTTTTTTTGGCAATTTTTTTAACAAAATCAAATCATTGCATTATTGAGTTGTACGATAAGGTACAACCCAACGTTGCGTCGGGAAACAATTTTGTAAAATTGACTCTCGACGTCCGGTAATTGTTTATTTCCGGTGAATTAGGTTTTGGTGGTGGACGAAATGACGATCGACGACGAAACCTCCGTCTATGTCGGCAACCTGCCTTACGATGCTACTGAAGATAGCATTCGAAGTGTCTTCGATCTCTACGGCCAAATAATCGCAGTCAAGGTATATGCGCTTATATGTATGTATGTATGTATGTATGTAAGAGTGTGTGTGGATTTGTGCGTAGAGATATGCATATATGTATCTACACTCTCATTTCTCTGTATTTTTTTTTAATTTGTTGATTTTTATGTGTTTGCTTTGTGTTATTCATCTGTATGTAAGAAGATGAACATTTTGATTCTGAGGTCTAATGAATTTTTGAAGTTAGTCGGTGTGAGTTTGCTCACATTTTGAGGAAGATTTGATGACCGCGATTAAACTCTATCGCCAGTAGAAATTGAACGAAGTGTAGATATCAATTTTGAATTTGGTAATCAATGGCTTTGAACTGTGCATATATTGGAAGGGTTATTAGTTATAACTATGAATGAACTCCATTCGTTGCTAGTGTTTTTCATCATATGAGAATCTTTACAAAAGTATATTTTAAAGGTTTTCAAATATTTGTCCTGGAGTTGAGAATTAAGATAGAACTGGATAAGTCAGATTAAGCTCACCATGTAATTTTATCAATGTTTACTTTATTTTCAGTAACTTCGTTTATCTGCCATAAAACATTGCCTTCTATTGGGCATAAAAAATCTTTTAAGGAATGAGCCAAATTGTTTACTGCCATGGAAGTTTAAAACTTAATGTTAGTGGTGAGGTTGTGAGGATTCTGTAAGGAAGCACACTTCTCAGTCTTACGGAATGTATGACTTCTACCAACTCACCTACAGGGTTAAAAGAGGGAACAGACCCCATAGCCAACTTATGTAGTTGCTCAAAGATCCCCTCATTCATCCTCTAAAGCCGATGAAATATGAAACACAAAGCCTGGAGATCTTAAAGATTTTTATGTGGGGTTGGAAGGGATGTCCACTGAGTTAACTAATCTGTGCAACGACCTCTTCAAAATGTTTGATGGCTATAATGTACTCAGGAGTTCTTACAACCAGTGAGTCAGATATTTGTGGAGAGATCTATGGGGGTATGGCATGACTTCATCTAAACATTTAATAGCTATTCCTCATCCATGAAATCCCCATGGACCTTACTAACATCATATTGCACTACGTCAATTGAATTGTTAATTAGAGGCGGACCTAGAAACTTTCAAGTGGTTGCACCATTTGACTATAAAAAATGAAACTATGGACGATGCTTACAAACTCATCATTGGTCTGTTGGTTAGTTCCTTGCCTTTTGAATGTGAGGTCTTGTGTTCGAATCTTTTATCCAAATCTTTTTGAAACATAATAAACCTGAAACTAAAAGCTAAAAACTAAGCAAAATGATACAAATGGGATTCAACCCCGCTCCTAGAAGGGAGAAAGACCGTGCAAACCAACTCTACCAAGTGAAACTTGTGTTATTATTGTAGTTCCAAAGAATACACAGTCACAACCCAACAAAATAATACGGTGGCACCTTTTACAACCTTAATTTTTTTTACACTATGGGAAAATCTAGTTAACAGACTTGTCCAGTATTGTCATGTCCTGTCTAGTCCTACCTTCTTTGTCCCGTTCTGGTCCAGTCCAATAATGTCTGCTTGCCAAACGATACCTTAAGGTTAAGTGACAGCAAGCCTGGTTTAGTACCATAGCATTTAAGCGTGCCTATAGAGATTGCAATACAACTTTGCGGGCGGGAAGCTTAACCTTTGACAACTGATTAAACCACTCACTAGGAACTCTTTTGTGTCCCCAGTGGGTCCCACTCTGTCTAAATGGAACTTGGGTCAGCATCCAGTAGCTTTGGTCTTGGCATCACCTTCTTTTATGATACTGTTACTGCCAACCCCTGATGATAGGGTTCCACCACTTTAGGTGCAGCCTCTGCTGGAATGCAAATCCCTGGCACCACTGACAATGTGAAACAACTAAAACTTTGATGCCGAACTACGAACTTCTTCTGTTCTTCACTCTATATTTGGTTTGTGCTTGGAAAAGCGAGTTGTTTATCTACTTCTTTGGGCTTTCAGTTTTATGTTGTCATTTTGTTTCATGTATATGAGATCGCCTAATACTGTTTGCTTATACATTTCACTTCCAGATAATCAACGACCGTGGAATAGGTGGAAAATGCTATGGTTTTGTTACTTTTACAAATCCCCGATCTGCAGTTGATGCGATTAATGATATGGACGGAAGGGTATTTGCAGTTGCCAGTTGGTTATATGTTGATGTTTTTTGGTCATCAATGATATGCATTTTACACGTCTTTTAATTCATTTCAAAATTTCAGCTGTGGTTTGTCTTAATTATTTGACATACTGAATCTCTATCAGACCGTTGATGGACGAGTTGTAAAAGTGAATGAAGTGAAGACTAGAGGTGGGAGGTCAAATTTTGGTCGGGACGGTTTTCGACGTAATGACCGAGATGTGGAGTTGGACAGGGGTAGAGATAGAGATAGAGAGAGAGACTATGGCCGTGTGAGAGATCGGTCTAGGGATCAAAATAGAGAATGGTCTCGAGATCGTGATCAGGATAAAGAAAGGGGATATGACCGTGCACGTGATCTTGATCGGTCAAGGGAACGATTTGTTGACAGGGATAGGGGACATGATCGAGATAAAGATATGGATGGCACTGAACATGAGCATGAACGAGATCATGAACAGGCATGGGAAAAGGACAGACAATTAGACAGGGATCAAGTGAAAGAGATGAGGAGAAGTGACATTCATCATAGAAGCGGGAACAAATATAAAGATCAAACGGCTAAATTAGCAAATGGGTAAGATCAGATTTCATCAAACTTTATACCTGCTATATCTTGCTGATCGTGCAACCTCCTTTCTGAATAAGTTATAGAATCTTGTGCTTCGTCTATAAGCTGCATACTTGTATTGGTTTCTGAACATCATGCCTTTTATGCCATTTACGACCATTCTTTAGTAAAGATTTTTGTTGTCTTTTTTGGTAATCATGGTGTCCGAGTGCAGGACCTTTGTTTCAGTTATTTTATGATATCTGACATTATGGGGCTGTTTGGTTGGTTTTCCATTAAGTCCGGTAGGATAAACCTGACTGTGTGGATTAATCTGCTTGTATAGAGTGAGAGGATTTTTTTCATACATGTAAGGACTGTGTTTTTTAATTGGGAGGGGCATGTGTGGAATTTTTTTGGCTATTAGCATAAAGCTCCGTCTAGAAGCTTACTGAATAAGCCACTTTTTCTGTCATTTAGCCACTACCAAACAGTCATGTATAGCTGACGGAATAAGGTGTGAGTCTCATTAAGTTCATTAAGCTGTTAACAAACAAGTCTTAATATATGGATGATGCCATATGTAGATGTTCATTAACAATTTCGTACATGTTGTATATGAAAAAGTTCTTTATGGTAAGGCCGGAAGGGGAACGTTCATTGAGTAGGCATGGTAAGAGGAGCTATTTGGATACGAGATATAAAACAACAATAACTTCACTTCTTACCCTTGTGGCTAAATACTATTGGGGTTCCCATTCATCAAATTTCACTATCACATTATGCTTAAACAAGCTTGCCAACAAAATCACATTAATGCTGTTTAACGTCTATACATATGCCCAAAAATTGTAAACATGATATAATGTACGCTATGCATGTTTGACTGAAATCAAAACAAGGTTGCATATAAGTCGCACTTTTTTAATTATTTATTCTCCTTGGTCCCTTTTTCACTTCTGATCTCAGTGAGCGCCATAGCAGAGAGCATCCATCAGGGTCAAGTCATGGAGATCAGGATCAGGTAGCGATCCACTACTTTTCTGTTGGACACCCGAGTGCACAATTCTTAAGCATCCAGCATCGCCAAAATTTTCCTTTCTTATGTGATTATTCTGTTAATATATTATCAGGTTGCAAAGCAACTCGATGTTTCACGCCAAAAAATAGAAGAACTCCAAAAAGAGGTTTGAATTTGCTTATTCCAATTCTTTTAATCTTCGTTAATATGTAACCTGATGCTCATAATCAAGTTATTCAAGTGTTATGTAGTCAAACAAAACTTCATCTTATGGGCATGCACTATGTACCATGTCAATATTCCATGTTGGGGCTTTTTAACATCTAGCGAAATTGGATATAAAATGATATATGGTTGCAAATATCCTCTTTCTCCTTTAACTATTTTACTCACTGCTTTCCATTTTCTGTCGGAAACCCCCCCTAAAAATTGAAAAACTAAGGAACACTAGTAACCATTCATCTGTACGGTATGCACATGTGTATACAAGTAATTGAAGATGTTTTCTGGTTTTTATGCACATGTGCATACCAGACAAATTACTTTATGTACACAGGTGAGTAGTTATTAGGGTGTTCTCAGTTATCAACTTTTTGGCGGTTTTCCCCTGAAGCTGACCCTAGTCACTTGATTTAGTTTAAGTTTAGACCTTATTGATAGAAATTGTAATTCCCAGACTCTTCAATCAGATTATCACTTTAGCAAAGTAGAAAAGATGAACAATTAGAGAGAATCTTAGCCAAAAGTAATTGTATTAAACTTTCAAGAATGGTTACAAATGAGAATCCTTACACTAATTACAATTAAGAAAACTATTTATACCTACAACTACTAAGGCAAAATTAACAAAGGAGAAACACTTGAATACAACAATAAAGCACAAGCTTAAACCCAACATAAATCCCCCGACTTTTCTTCACTTCTGTTAATGGTAGAGGTAATGCTTAAATTTCACATTGCCACGTACCTTACTCATGCAAGAGGATAAACAAGAGGTTGTAATACAAGAGAAGCTAAATTTCAACAGATGCATTTGTCTCTAAACCCCAAACTCTAAACCCTAGAGGTTGCATTTTTTTTTGGGTGAAATATAAGTAGAGTCATTGCAATATAATGCTAAAAGATTATTCATGACTGGAGATGTGGAACTTGTTTCGTTTATCCTTGAACGACCATCGCCAACTACTGTTTCAATATATATATATATATATATATATTTTTTTTTTTGAGAACACATGGCTTAGAATTTGTAGCGGCACATAATGAAACCTATGGATATTAGATGAATTCTTTTAAAGCATGAAATCCCTCTAATACTCACACACACTCCTCACCTTTCGTGAGGTTTGAACCTTGACTTCCTGGGAGGCTGAGCTCTGGCGGTAGGGAGGCTGAGCTCTGGTGGTAACCCAACCGCTGGGCCAATGACCCTTTGGTGTTCTAGCTGAATGTTGATGAAGCTTTTTAGATATGGTATCTGACATAAATGAAGATCGTTCTTCCTCCAATCCAAATATATAAATGTTTTGCCATTTTCTAAAGAATAATAAGAGTGGAGGCACATTTTAACTTTCAAATGTCAGAGTACAAAAATATCTAATTTAAGTTAACGTGGCTTAATTTAACTTCTGAGAATTGTCAATATGACAGCTAATTGTTTCTGTTTAAACAAAAGATAGTTATGGTACTTTTTCCATTGTTGAGATATAGCTATTGTTGTGTATCCCCTTCTCTTACAAACCCAATAATTCGTACAAACTTACAAACCGGTTTTCATGTGTTGCATTTTTACAATGTTGTTTCATATGTGAAACGTTAGCAAAACAGTTCTGAATGTCTTACATATGAAAAAACACTGTATAAACACCGCATTTTCACACAAACACATGAAAACTGGTTTATAAGTTCGTACAATTTATTGGGTTTGTAAATGATTATGCGTCTTGTTGTATATATCGAAAGTGAACTACATTTGTATCAACTTTGATCGTTAAGGAACTTGAAAGTCGAACAAATTTGAAATTTTGAAATGGAGTTTGTTATGTGATATATGACTTCTATACAATAAAAGTAACAACATTAGTTTTGCAGATACTCCGGCGTCCACCTATTTTTGTGTTTGCCTTGTGTTGATAGCAAAATTGCATCTTTCAGGTTTTTCGCATGGAAGAGCTTGTAGAAGAGAGAGGTGATCATGTATCTAAGCTGCAAGAGAAGTCTCAGGTCTTAAATATTCTTCTCTGATATACTGTCTTTTGCGTGTTTTTTCATACACTTTCACCTATAAATTGCTCGCCTGTGCTTGTATTTATTTGTTTTGCAAGCTGCGAACAACCTCTCTACCTCTTACCCGTTTGGTTTGACAGGATGTTTTTGAGATTTCGTGGAAGGATTTGGGATCTTTGGTGTGTTTGGTTTGTAGGATTTGGAAATAAATTGAATTACATTATTTATATATAACGTAATAATTATAAAAATAATTAAATTGTGTTTTATTAATTGATTATTACAAAATGAATGTTTTTATCATATTTTAAAATATTATAACAAACATATCTTATGAAATCCCATGAAATACCAACTACTCCCATGAGATCTCTAAATCCTATGTGTGTCATTTCAATTATGGACTTCCTTTAAACCAAGCGGGATCAGAATGGAATTCAATTCCAAATCCCTCCAAATGCTATCAAATCCTGCAAACCAAACGGGGCCTTAGAGTAGATGTTAGGTTTGGGTACATCTTAGAGTATCTCTAACAACGGAGAAAAAGAGAACATTAGAATTTTTATGTTCTTTTTTTTGCTCCAATAGCTTCTCCAAAATGGAGAAAGTAGGAGAGAGAGAGGGGGTGCGAAAAATTCTACAAATTTAGAAAATCCTCCAAAGTTTAACTGAGGTAGAGAGAGAATGGCTTTTTTATTCTTCCCAATAAAAAACTCCCCAGCCTTCTAAAAAAATTAAATGAAGGAAGAGAGAGAGAGAGAGACTTTTTTATACTATTTAAATATTTTAACAATATAATTAAATTTGGAATCTCCAAATGGAGGAAACCGTTGGGAGTTAAATGTAATTCTTTTAGAAATTTTGACTTTTGCTTTCAATTTTTGGAGAAATTATGGAGAAACTGTTGGAGATGCTCTTACATGGGTGTAAATGAGCCGAGTCAAGTCGAGTAGTAGGTTATTCGAGCTCAGCTTGAAAAAATAGTACCAGGCTCGAACTCGAATAATGTTTTCAAAGTAGGGGTCGAGCTCGATTCTCGTTTGTGGGCTCGAACTCACGATCAGTTCGTTTATTGGTTCGAACTCGATAATTTTTATATTTTTATTATATGATTTATGGACATATGAGCATGTTTGCTTCAAAAAAACGTATGCACGAATGACTTGACTCGACTCGACTCTATTTGACTCAAAAAATTTAATTGAGTTTTCGAACGAGCCGACTCGAACATTGGTGTTATAAAGCTCGACTCATTAAATTAAACGGGTTTTATTTTGTGTTCAAGATCGACTCACTCGAATAGTTTACACCCCTAGCTCTTACTCCCCCCTCCCTCTTCAAATATCCTACCTGTGGGATTTACTGGTTTCGTTTTGTTTGGTTTGTAAACTTCTTTTCGCAATTCAACTTTCTTCGGTTCTTCCTTACTGAACTTCATTGGTGATTGCAGAAACTAGAGGGTGCATTGGCATCTGCTAAAAAGCTCACTTCAAATCGTAAGAAGCAATTGATCAAGGTGCATGCCGATAATATTTATTTTTCTTATTTACGTATTCCGCTTTGTGAATCTTTAGTATATTCATTCTGCATAATTCTGTCTCTTGCAGCTGCATAAATGTTTTCTTAATATGAAAGAATATGGGGAGAAACTTAAAAGCTGTGAAGAGGAACTTCAGGTTAGCCTCTCCAATTTTTCTTGCTTTGACTTTACCAAGTTCAATTAATATATATACAGGGGTCTTCATTTGAAAACCCATAAAATTGTGATAACCCTGAGAACATGTACCTCATGTGCTATTTCACATGATTTTTTTCATCTACGGCTTGGATTTAGTGTATTGATCAACAATATATATATATATATATATATATATATATATATATATGTTTCACAATGTGAACATTGTGAACTGAATACGTATGAAACAAATATATGTTAGGGGTTGTTTGTTTACCTCTTAATAGTTCCATTAAGAGGCAGCATCTGAATCGTTAAGAGGCGAATCTTGTTTGGCAAAAAAAAGTCTGCCTCTTAATGGTTCTAAAACTCTCTGAATGATTTTGTATCCTGGGCCTCCCTTAACCATTCAGCGTCCTAGTTTTGTTGTAAACAATTACCAAACAATTATATTTCATTTTGCACTATATCATGAGAGCCTCTTAATCATTCTGCACCAAACCATTCAGCAACTGTCAAACATCCCCTTAGTCAATATATTAAGTTCTAGCCTTAGATGAAATAATATCATGTGAAACAATACCTTACGATAATAGTTCTCACAGTTATCAAGATGTGGGGTTCTCAAATGGTTAAGCCTATATATCTATACTATATTATAATGCATTTGGCTAAAACTCTTAAAAACTCTTAAACTCTTAAACTCTTAAAACTCTTAAACCCGTTCATCTCTAAACAATTTCATCTCTATCCGATTTCATCCCATAACTGAATTCGTGTAACTAACTGCAGATAAACACAATCAAATACAGGATAAACATCTTATTTTAAATATAAAAAATCTAAAATA